TAGTTAAATCACTTTTTGTTAATAGTTACATTTGTAAATAAAAAATTTAAAATTAGAGATGTAAATATTAAATGTTTTATAAAATTATGGTCAACTGCTTCAAGTTACCGTCACTTTCGATTTGTTTATATTAGAGTGGCAATGTAATTAGAGCTTATATTCTCCGTATTTTCTTTGATGTTCATAGTCAAGTTAATTTCCTCTTGAATTCTTAAGCTTTCGAGAGTGTACCGTTTTTTCCAAGATTTCTCTTTGTCTAATATTACTATATTGTCGAAATCCGGTTTGTGTTGTCTCTCGGTGCAATGCTGAGATAGAGCTGTATTGTTTTTGTTCTTGTTGATGTCTGACATGTGCTCAGCTATTCTGGTGTTAAGTGACCTCTTTGTTGTACCAATATAAATCTCTTTGCAACTCCCTTCTTTATTTCCGTTGCAATTTATTTGATATACCACATTATTTTGTTGCAGCTTATTAATTTTGTTTTTGTTGTTAGAGAAAATTTTATGGACAGTTAGATTGGGTTTATAAGCACAAAAAATGTTGTCTTGTTTAAGATTTGTGGTCAGATTTCTATTATTAGATAACTTCGGTACAAAGGGTAACGAAAAATATTGTTTTGGAATTTGGTTATTGCTATTTTGAATATTGTGTTCTAATACTATACCGAAGCAGTATCTTATATTTATGGTAATTAATTATGATAGTTTTCAATATGACATCATATGTATTTCATTCCTGTTTCAGAAATTTCATGTAAACTTTATTTTTATTATTACTCACGTCGCTAAGTTTCTGTAAGAACTACAATTCTATTTTAGTTTTTAAACTACACAAAAGCAATATCTTACATTTATAACAATCGATCAGGTGTTGATATAAGATAAAAAGTATTTCATTCCTATTTCAGAAATTTCATGTAAACTTTGTTTTTTTTATTACTGACATCGTTAGTTTATGTAAAAGTCTTCATCCATATTTTATTTCTAAAACTACACAAAAACAATATCTTACATTCATAACAATCGATCAGGTTTTGATATGAGGTGAAATGTATTTCATTCCTATTTAAGAAATGTTATGTAAACTTTGTTTTTTATTATTACTCACACCGTTAAGTTTCTGTAAAAGCTTACATTCCTTTTTTATTTCTAAAACTACTTAAAAGCAGTATTCCTATTCCGTTCCATTCCTAACATAAAATATTTCATTCATTCCTATTTCAGAAATTTTATGTAAACATTGTTTTCATTATTACTCACATCGTTAAGTTTGTAAAAACTTAGAATCCTTTTTTATTTTTTAAACTACACAAAAGCAATAACTTACATTCATAACAATTGATCAGGTTTTGATATAAGGTGAAATGTATTTCATTCCTATTTCAGAAATTTTATGAAAACTTTGTTTTCATTATTACTCACATCGTTAAGTTTCTGTAAAAGCTTACATTCCTTTTGTATTTCTAAAATTACAAAAAACCAATATCTTACATTCATAACAATCGATGAGGTTTTGATATGAGGTGGAATGTGTTTCATTCCTATTTCAGAAATTTCATGTAAACTTTGTTTTTTTTATTACTCACATCGTTAAGTTTCTGTAAAAGCTTACATCCCTATCTTATTTCTAAAACTACACAAAAGCAATATCTTACATTCATAACAATCGATCAGGTTTTGATATGAGGTGAAATGTGTTTCGTTCCTATTTCAGAAATTTCATGTAAACTTTTTCTTCGTTATTACTCACATCGTTAAGTTTCTGTAAAAGCTTACATTCCTTTTGTATTTCTAATACTACACCGAAGCAGTATTTTATATTTATGATAATTAATCAGTTTTTAATATGACAGCATATGTATTCCATTCTTGTTTCAGAAATTTCATCTAAACTTTATTTTTATTATTACTCACATCGCTAAGTTTCTGTAAGAACTACAATTCTTTTTTAGTTTTTAAACTACACAAAAGCAATATCTTACATTCATAACAGTCGATCAGGTTTTGATATGAGGTGAAATATGTTTCATTCCTATTTAAGAAATGTCATGTAAACTTTGTTTTTATTATTACTCACATCGTTAAGTTTCTGTAAAAGCTTACATTCCTTTTTTATTTCTAAAACTATTTAAAAGCAGTATTCCTATTCCGTTCCATTCCTAACAATTAATATATAGTTGAGAAAATAGTTTTCAACTACACTAAAGCAATATCTAACTTTTATTCCGTTCCATTCCTAACAATTAATATATAGTTGAAAAAATAGTTTTCAACTACATAAAAGCAATATCTAACTTTCATAACAATCGATCATTTTTTGATATAAAGTAAAATGTAATTCATTCCTATTTCAGAAATTTCATGTGAAGTTTATTTTTATTATCACTCACATCGTTAAGTTTCTGTAAAAGCTTACATTTCTTTTTTATTTTTTAAACTACACAAAAACAATATCTTACATTCATAACTGTTTGAGATTTGGCACAGCAACCAGGCGATATGGCATCACCCATTTAGTAGTTTTTGACAGTGGCATTTTAACATTTGGCAAGCAATAATTTTGGCTTCGTTTTTGCTTTTTCTTTCTTTTTTTTCTTACTTGGATACTGGCAGAGTGTGCACGCTTTTTTTGGCTTCGCGAAATATAAGTAATTTATAAGTTATTCTAGTCTAATTTTCGTAAATTAAATAAATACATAAACTTTTGCGTGTGTGGAAATAATTGTGTTTGTTTTTTCATACATTTGTTGGTGCCGAATCCCGGGAGTTTCGGTTTTTAATTTAAAATTAAATTGCGGTTTTGGCTTTATACGAAGAAAATATGGCTGCCTTAAATAGGCGTACGACTGCGTGGTCATCATTAAAGCGGGTAGCCGCAAAAATATTGGCGGATGACTACGTTGAGAATGGCTTTGGCATGCAGCAAGATCGTACAACATTGCAGGCGCACTTCGACAAACTACAAACTGCACATGGTGAGTTGGTGGCTTTGGCAAGAGATGATACTGAATTATGGTCTCACATCAAGTTGTGGGACGAGGTGGAGGACTTGTATAACGAGGCGTGCGTTGCATTGCGACGTGAGTTGGCTCACTGTGATGCGCAAAATACGGATGCACCTTCCAATATGGCAAGCGGTGCTGCGTCTTCCCAAGGCTTTGCAATTAAGTTGGAACTATTGGCTATACCCAAGTTTGATGGCTCGATGCGCAATTGGCTGGCATTTAAGGACACATTCGAGACATTGGTGCATTCGCAAGAGTTTCCAGAGGCATACAAGCTTGACAAACTGCGAGAGGCAGTCCAAGGTGATGCAGTGGCACTTGTCGGAGGCATGTACAGTGGCAGGTACGATGAGGTATGGGCTGCACTGAAGGCTCGGTACGACAATTCGAAACAGTTGGCTGAAATACACGTGGCTAGGCTAATTGGCTTCAACCCATCACAGGCTGAGTCAACATCTGCGTTGATATCGGTGGTTGATACAGTGCGAGAGTCCTTGCGAGCGCTTGCGGTAATGAACCTACCCGTGGATCAATGGGATGCATTGGCGGTACCCATTATAGTGGCCAAGTAACCAACATTTACGCAACAGGCATGGGGCATGAACCGCACAACTAATCAAATTCCTCCTTTGGCAGATTTGCTTGCATTCTTGGAGACACGAGCTGACAGTCTAGTTGACACTGTTTGGCGAGCAATGGAGAGCAAACCAAAATCTGATGGCAAGACTGCTACACTACAATATTGTGGCACATCTCAGACTGATCTTAAAAGGCCAGGGTCAAGTCTAATGAGGACAAACCTAATAGCAAATATATGGATATGTCACTGGGCATAGTCCATACGTGCCTTTCTTTTTATATCGTAATAACCATTATTATGATTTAAATTTATATATATTACTTATTGTCATTCATTCCTGACAGATTGTAATAAATAAATGGATTTAAAAAAAAAAAAAAAAAAAAAAAAAAAAATAGCAACTACTTCAGGCCACTGCCAGTTTTGCAATGACGCATCGCACCAAATAGGCAACTGCTCCAGGCTATTGGCTTGCTCACCAGCGGAGCGCTTCACATTGCTTAAAGGCTCGAATCTTTGCTTCAATTGCTTGAAACCTGGACATTCCACTAAGGCATGTGGCTCAACTAATTGTCGCATATGCAATGGCAGGCATCACACTCTACTATGCCGAAGTTCACCAGCGCAAACTCCTCCTTTGCAAGAGTCCAAACAGCAGGCACAAACTACACCTCAGGCACCAGCGAAACCGAACCAGGCTGGCATCCCACCACGTGTGCATCAGTGACTACACCATCCAATGCAGACATTCGCTACTATAGGCAATCGGGTTATACTCTTGGCAACAGCACAAATACGCATCTTAAATGGCTTTGGCGATATCGACCCGTGTCGAGCTCTATGCGATCCAGGCTCTCAGGTAAGTCTAATGAGTACGCGATATTTTAATCAACTGGCTCTGCGGAAGCAGAAAATTGCATTGCAATTACAAGGTGTTGGCAGTGGCAATCGCTCATATACTAATGGCCGGGCAGTCTTGCGCATATTTTCGACTGTCAATGCTTCATTTGGCTTGGATGTTGAATTCTACATCATCAACAAAATTGCCTCAGCAATCCCTGTGGCTCCAATCATGGAAAACTGTTGGCAGCATTTACGCAATTTGCCTTTGGCAGACCCGAAATTTGGCGAAACTGGTGTTATAGATGCATTGCTTGGCTCAGACATATGGGGCCAATTGTTGGCAGATGGCATAGTTCGTGGCGAACTTGATGATCCTGTGGCACAAAATACGCAATTAGGCTGGGTTGTATTCGGACCAGCTGAAGCAACCGTGCATAACTACAAGGCGGAACAATCTATGGCATTGATGAGCGAGTTGATGACCTTCTACACAGGCTATTTGAATCCAAAGAAATTGACATGGCTAAAGGCGATAAACTAGCAGCAGTTGATCTTTGCGAATGCATTTTCATGAGCACACATAAGTGTTTTGATGATAGCAGTTACTGCGTACAAATACCATTTACACCAGATGCTCCACCACTTGGGAATTCACATCAGATGGCACTCAGGCAATTTCACCAGTTGGAACGAAAATTGGCATCCAACTCAGAGCTGAGGCAAAGATATGTGGCTTTTATGCGCGAATACGAACAACTTGGTCACATGCACCCTATTCAGCATCATTCAGGCGACCCATCTCAGGCATACTACATTCCACATTTTGCAGTCATGGCAAAATTCCAAGTCGTTTTCAATGCTTCCGCAAAAACATCGAATGGCATATCATTAAATGATACACAACTTGCTGGCCCCCCAATACAGGATTTATTACTTAACCTTTTGCTTCGCTTCAGGCAGCATCGAATAGCATTCACAGCTGATGTGGAGAAAATGTTCAGGCAAGTCAAGGTTGACGAGAGGCACAGGCAGTGGCAACAGATCCTCTGGCGGGAATTATCCGATCAGCCCATTCGCACATATCAATTGGCTACCGTTACATATGGCACAACCAGTGGCACATATTTGGCTGTTCGCGCTATGCAGCAATGTGGCAGAGACAATTTTTATAAACTCTCAGATGAATTACGAGCTAAAACTGCTTTGAACAGCATCCTAAATGATTTCTACATAGATGACTATCTTAAGAGTACACCTTCTATTGGAATGGCGATTAAACTGGCGGCCGATGTCTCATCTGTTTTGGCAGACGGTCAGTTCCATCTCAGGAAATGGAAATCGAATAGCGCTGAAGTCTTGGCACATCTTCTTGGCGATGCTGATCCCTGTCAGCTTAATACGCACTTGGCAGAAACTACTGTTCTTGGCTTGCACTTGGGATCCACTCACTGATGAACTCTTCTATCAGGTAAGCTCTTATGATGCACAACATCTTACGAAAAGGCAAGTGCTTAGCGATGCCACAAAATTATATGATCCAATTGACATGTTGGCACCAGTCATCATTACGGCTAATCTTTTCATACAGAAACTGTGGCAGGCAAAATTGGCATGGGACGGCCCATTACTACTTGAATTGTTGCATATGCCTTCGGTATATGAGCATATACCGAAGGCAGCTGTCCCAACTGGAGACAGTACGAATACCGCGTTGGATAGGCATGCAGCCCGGATATCAAATACAACTTCACGGCTTCTGCGATGCTAGTGTCAAGGCAATGGCTGCAGCACTCTATTTGGCAACAAACCACAATGGCAATATCATTAGTCACATTATCGCATCAAAAACTAAAGTGGCACCATTACATTCGGTAACAGTACCCCGATTGGAACTTTGTGCTGCGCAATTGTTGGCTACTCTTTTACACGAAACAAGGCAGGCTTTGCATTTGGAGCACGTACCATACACTCTATACTCCGACTCAAATATTGCTCTATGTTGGCTACGCAAAAACACATCACAATTAAAGCAGTACGTTGCTAATCGCGTTGGCTGCATTCAATCGATGACAGATATCAGGCATTGGCATCACATTCCTACCAAACTCAACCCAGCTGATTGCGCCAGTTGTGGCATATCCCCTTTGGCGTTGCATAACTACGCATTATGATGGCACGGTCCTAATTCAACTGATTATTCAATCAATGAGCTGCACCACTGTGCACCAGCAGAGCTGGCAATAATGGAAGGCGAGTTAAAACCATTTAAGGTAAAGGCATTACAGATAATAGGTCAACCCGCATTACAGACACACTACACTGCTGGCGACGAATTGGTCGTCATAGATCTGTTGGACCGGTTCAGTCATCTTGGCAAGCTTTTGCGCACTGCTGCATACATATTGCGTTGCAAAAAGGCACATCAGCGTTTTCGTTCGCATACACACATCTGTACAGGCAAAATGGACATGGCTTTAAATCATCACATCAAGGCAGAACAAGCGAAATATTTCGGAGCGGAAATCAAGCAGCTGAAAAAGGCACAGCCCATATCCACATCCAGCAAGCTCATTGCACTGAATCCATTCATCAACTCCACAGCGGACAATATATTGCGAGTAGGCGAACGCCTACATAATGCGAGGGTGGCAGAGCCACAGCGTCATCCAATCATTCTTCCGAAGGATAGCACATTGACCAGGCTTTTAATATGGCAGGTGCATCAGGACACACTTCATGGCGGTATACAAATTATGTTTCATACGATTCGACACAAATATTGGCTTCTACAGGCACGCATTTTGGTCAAGCAATGCATACCCTCATGCGCGATTTGCAGGCGGCAAAAACACATAATGCTAAAACAACGTATGGCGACATTACCAAAGGCTCGGGTCACCCCATCTCCACCATTTGCAAGATCTGGCTTAGACTATTGCGGTCCATTCAACATACGCATTGCCTCCAAGGCTGTACGAACCGTGCGGAAGGCTTACGTGACAATCCTTGTGTGCATGGTAACCAAGGCAGCGCACATCAAACTGGCTCAAGATCTCACTTCTGAGGCATTCATAAATGCATACACCCGTTTCGTAAACCGGCGTGGTCCATGTAATCATTTATACAGTGACAATGGCACTACATTCATTGGCTTACAGGCTTGGCATAATGAATATTCTCAACAGGAATTGGCAAATCGAGGCACAAAATGGCATTTTCTACCACCTGGCGCACCTCATCAAGGCGGTCTATGGGAAGCTGCCGTTAAGTCAGCAAAAAAGCACTTACTACGCATTGTTGGCACCCATTCCATTTACTATGATCAGCTACATACTGTACTTGTACATATCGAGGCTTGCTTGAATTCACGTCCACTTATACCATTGCATAACACTTGTGACGACAAGATGGCTCTATCACCTGCAGATTTCCTAATTGGCAAGGTACCTAGCAAGAAATTATCATACTCGCGAAAGATATGCAGGCTTGTGGAGCATCCTGAACGTACCCGTCCAGCCGGGGAGGATGTTTGATATTTGGCACAGCAATCAGGCGATATGGCATCACCCATTTAGTAGTTTTTGACAGTGGCATTTTAACATTTGGCAAGCAATAATTTTGGCTTCGTTTTTGCTTTTTCTTTCTTTTTTTCTTACTTGGATACTGACAGAGTGTGCACGCTTTTTTTGGCTTCGCGAAATATAAGTAATTTATAAATTATTCTAGTCTAATTTTCGTAAATTAAATAAATACATAAACTTTTGTGTGTGTGGAAATAATTGTGTTTGTTTTTTCATACAATAACAATCGATCAGGTTTTGATATAAGGTAAAAAGTATTTCATTAATATTTCAGAAATTTCACGTCAACTTTGTTTTTATTATTACTCACATAGTTAAGTTTCTGTAAAAGCGTACATTCCTTTTTATTTCTAAACCTACACAATAGCAATATCTTACATTCATAACAATCGATCATGTTTTGGTATAAGGTAAAATGTAATTCATTCCTATTTCAGAAATTTTATGTAAACTTTATTTTTATTATTACTCACATCGTTAGGTTTCTGTAAAACCTTACATCTCTTTTTATTTCAAAAACTCCACAATAGCAATATCTTACATTCATAACAATCGATCGTGTTTTAATATAAGGTAAAATGTATTTCATTCCTACTTCAGAAATTTCATTTAAACTTTGTATGCATTATTACTCACATCGTTAAGTTTCTGTAAAAGAGTACATCCCTTTTTATTTCTAAACCTACACAATAGCAATATCTTATATTTATGATAATTGCTCAGTTTTTAATATGACATCATATGTATTTCATTCCTCTTTCAGAAATTTCATGTAAACTTTATTCTTATTATTACTTACATCCTTAAGTTTCTGTAAAAGTTCACAATCCTTTTTATTTTTAAAACTACACAAAAGCAATATTCCTATTTCATTCCATTCCTAATAAATAATATTTCATTCATTCCTATTTCAGAAATTTCATGTAAACTTTATTTTTATTATTACTCACATCGTTAGGTTTCTGTAAAACCTTACATCCCTTTTTATTTCTAAAACTCCACAATAGCAATATCTTACATTCATAACAATCGATCATGTTTTGATATATGGTAGAATGTATTTCATTCCTATTTTAGAAATTTCATTTAAACTTTGTTTGTATTATTACTCACATCGTTAAGTTTCTGTAAAAGAGTACATCCCTTTTTATTTCTAAACCTACACAATAGCAATATCTTATATTTATGATAATTGCTCAGTTTTTAATATGACATCATATGTATTTCACTCCTCTTTCAGAAATTTCATGTAAACTTTATTTTTATTATTATTTACATCCTTAAGTTTCTGTAAAAGTTCACAATCCTTTTTATTTTTAAAACTACACAAAAGCAATATTCCTATTTCATTCCATTCCTAATAAATAATATTTCATTCATTCCTATTTCAGAAATTTCATGTAAACTTTATTTTTATTATTACTCACATCGTTAAGTTTCTGTAAAACCTTACATCCCTTTTTATTTCTAAACATACACAATAGCAATATCTTACATTCATAACAATCGATCATGTTTTGATATATGGTAAAATGTATTTCATTCCTATTTTAGAAATTTCATTTAAACTTTGTTTGTATTATTACTCACATCGTTAAGTTTCTGTAAAAGAGTACATCCCTTTTTATTTCTAAACCTACACAATAGCAATATCTTATATTTATGATAATTGCTCAGTTTTTAATATGACATCATATGTTTTTCATTCCTCGACACAAATATTGGATTCTACAGGCACGCATTTTGGTCAAGCAATGCATACCCTCATGCGCGATTTACAGGCGGCAAAAACACATAATGCTAAAACAACGTATGGCGACATTACCAAAGGCTCGGGTCACCCCATCTCCACCATTTGCAAGATCTGGCTTAGACTATTGCGGTCCATTCAACATACGCATTGGCTCCAAGGCTGTACGAACCGTGCGGAAGGCTTACGTGACAATCCTTGTGTGCATGGTAACCAAGGCAGCGCACATCGAACTGGCTGAAGATCTCACTTCTGAGGCATTCATAAATGCATACACCCGTTTCGTAAACCGGCGTGGTCCATGTAATCATTTATACAGTGACAATGGCACTACATTCATTGGCTTACAGGCTTGGCATAATGAATATTCTCAACAGGAATTGGCAAATCGAGGCACAAAATGGCATTTTCTACCACCTGGCGCACCTCATCAAGGCGGTCTATGGGAAGCTGCCGTTAAGTCAGCAAAAAAGCACTTACTACGCATTGTTGGCACCCATTCCATTTACTATGATCAGCTACATACTGTACTTGTACATATCGAGGCTTGCTTGAATTCACGTCCACTTATACCATTGCATAACACTTGTGACGACAAGATGGCTCTATCACCTGCAGATTTCCTAATTGGCAAGGTACCTAGCAAGAAATTATCATACTCGCGAAAGATATGCAGGCTTGTGGAGCATCCTGAACGTACCCGTCCAGCCGGGGAGGATGTTTGATATTTGGCACAGCAATCAGGCGATATGGCATCACCCATTTAGTAGTTTTTGACAGTGGCATTTTAACATTTGGCAAGCAATAATTTTGGCTTCGTTTTTGCTTTTTCTTTCTTTTTTTCTTACTTGTATACTGACAGAGTGTGCACGCTTTTTTTGGCTTCGCAAAATATAAGTAATTTATAAATTATTCTAGTCTAATTTTCGTAAATTAAATAAATACATAAACTTTTGCGTGTGTGGAAATAATTGTGTTTGTTTTTTCATACAATAACAATCGATCAGGTTTTGATATAAGGTAAAAAGTATTTCATTAATATTTCAGAAATTTCATGTTAACTTTGTTTTTATTATTACTCATGTACATTTAATAAATTAAAGTACACACACTTTGAGTAATTTTTAGCTACTGATTTTATTTAAAATAATGTTGTGTTTTTATACAAAAATATTTTAAGACTAATTTCTACATCAAGGTTAAATTATTATGATTTTAGTGGACTGTATTACATTTGTCAAAAAAGGTTAAAAAAGGTTAAAAAAGGACGGAAGTCCCAACACTTGGGATTTTCCTCCTATTGTTTTTATGAATATATTTTAGTTTAATAATTTAAATACGGTTGCTAAAAAATGTTACTATTTATCTATATTTTTCCTTAGTACATAATTCTAAGAATTTAGGTGATAATATAAACTATAATAATTAAATTTATGGTATAAATTCCTGTTCATGATTGAACATTCTGCCGGAGGTCAAAACTCCTGTTCGTGATTGAACATTCTGCCAGCGGCCAAATTCTACATTCCAATTTCGTTTAATAACATTTATCGTCTTATTCTCAGCAACATGTATTCGTTCGTGTACGCCTTCCAATACACATAATTTCTGAATCGGACGTTTTATTGTGCCGTTCTGAGTTTTTACCGATACTACTCTCACCAGATTATCTTTTCCAGGATGAACGTCAATTATCTTTCCAAGAGGCCATCTTCCTGGATATGTTTCCTCATTCTTCACTATTACCACTTGGCCTTCCTTAACATTTGCTTGAACCCCTTTCCATTTGTACCTCTGCTGAAGATTCGTTAAATATTCTTCCTTCCATCGTTTCCAAAAATGTTTCTTCATTGCTTGAATTATCTTCCAACGATTTAATGAAGATATGTTCATATCATCTACTGCTTCTGGATAGTCAATGATAGCATGCCCAATTAAAAAATGACCTGGAGTTAATATATCATTGTCGTCAACATTTGCACAAAGCGGTCGTGAATTAAGTATGCCCTCAATTTGAGTTAGAAGTGTGCTTAACTCCTCATACGTAAGTTTATTTTCGCCAACAACTCTTTTCAAGTGGTGTTTTATTGACTTCACGGCCGACTCCCATAAACCTCCAAAATGAGGACTTGCCGGTGGAATGAAATGCCATTTTATACCTTCTGCTTCCAATGCACAAACTGCACTCACATTGCTTTTAATAGCCTGTTGTAAATCCTTATCTAATTTTTTGGATGCTCCAACGAAGTTAGTACCGTTGTCTGAGTATATATGTGAACATTTGCCTCTGCGTGCAAACAATCGCTTCAGCGCCGCCAGAAATGAGTCTGATGTCATGTCACTTACCAACTCTAAATGCAAAGCTTTAGTTGCCATACATACAAATACCGCTACGTACCCTTTAAAAGTTTTTTGGCCTCGCCCTTTAGAACATTTTATTAGCAATGGTCCAGCGTAATCTACTCCACAATGAGCGAACGGAGCAGACACATTGACCCTATATTCTGGTAAATCACCCATAAGCTGTTTCTGCTTTAATGCTTTATAACGGGTGCACCTTACACATTCACGTATACATTTCTTAATCAAGTTTTTAAGTCCAAATATCCAATATCTTCTTTTTATAACATTTTCCATCAATCGATGTCCACCATGTAATGTTTCTCGGTGTGCTTCATTTATTATCAAATTCGCCAAATGACCTTTTGCTATAATTATTGGATGCTTTCTATCAAAACCAATTTTTGCATTGATTAATCGACCTCCAACTCTCAAAACTTGGTTTTTGTCTAAAAACGGATTCAAATTTGCCATTTTGCTTCGATGATCTATTTCACAACTATTTTTCAATCTGCTTATATCCGTAAAAAATTGTGTTGTCTGATGACTTCTAAAAATAGCTGCATCTGCTCTTCTAAACTCCTCTACAGTTAAATATTCTGGAGACTTAGCCTTCCTCAGTCTGTCTATGAAACGAAAAATATATACTACCACTCTACTTAATTTTCTAAAAGATGAATATTTCTCGATGAGCTGATTAAATAAGTCTTCCTCTCTTAATTTACTGATATTTATTATTTTAGCTGCCATTTGTTTTTTTGGCCATGTCCTTCTATCATCGTTTAACCAGTTTGGACCTCTCCACCATAACGATTGGTTCTCTAACTTTTCCGGCTGAATTCCTCTGGATGCTAGGTCTGCT